CGTAACAATTTAAGAAACTTCCTCCTGCAGTACCGCCGCCAGGCTGCCTGTATGAAGCTGGCCGCCCATGTCTTCCACTGCACGGAGTAGAATCTGAAAATGTGCTGGAGCTGTTTGCTATGGAGACGCCGGTACTGAGAGGCGACGAACTTGAGGTCGTCAGCTAACAGAGCAAAGGCCTCCACTTCGGACAAAGCCTGTACGGTTCTGGTGGAGATGGGTAATTAAATAAGAGGAGGACTGAGGATCCAAGGCCCAAGTAAGAAGTGCTTCTCCGCAAAAGTCACCGGCTTTCAGATTAACAGCATTGAAGAAGCCAGTTATTCCGCCGTTGGTGGTGGTGCTGACCAAATTTCCTCGTATTATAAACAGCATCTCCTCTACCGGATCCCCCTCCCTTTCAATGTAGCTTTTTTCAGTGTAAAGTACCGGTTTGAGACGATCACACATTGCATCTAACAGCTGCTCATCCATTTTCTCAAACAAGGGTACCTAAATAAAGAATATTAGCGTTGATCTTATGCTGGGTATGAACTTACAGAGATGTGATGCTTTTAGAAAAATTCTTACTCTCATGAGCAAATCCAAGCAAAGATGATGCTTTATGTCTCGCCTGAGATCTCTTGGAAGGCAATTAATTAGACTCTCTTCTTCAACCCCTCTGGTTTGTTGCCATTTATACTGTTGATACCGCCGGATTCTTTCCCTTAGGTTCTCCGGTAGCATTCTATGTTTCATCCATTGCTCTGCATCTGTTCTTTTGACTCTCATTTCTTCAACCCTTACTCCTGTTGACTGCAGATATTTCTATAAAAGCAAGAGAAACAGTCTTAGACATATTTACTAAATAAAAGACGATGGAAGATGAAAAGCATCAAGAAATACCTGCATGTTGCCAATAAGTAATGCAAACAAAACCAGTCCAGCAATGGAAATGACAACAGCAAAGACAATCTCCCAAACAAAAGTGCTTGTTTTCAGATTCGACCCTACAGAGCTGAGAATGAATAAGGAAAACATTAATTTTTGAGTAATTCAATAATCAATAAGGAGATTGTGATATACAAACCTGAGATTCCGCAGACCCCACCAGAAGCAGTAAAAGAATTTTTTACGGAAACTCCTAGTTCCCACAATCTCTGACTGGAGTGCATCAAAGAATATTCCAAAATTGAAGTCTGTTGAATTTGTAATTTCATCAGGATTGATCAAAGAGCAGGAAGTATTCAGGATCAGGACTTTCTGCAAAGCACGAAATGATTCGGCTAGTCTAGGGTGGTCCGAATTATTACATGTACAGTACAAAAGACTACGGTTATAACCATGTCCCCTAGCAACATCACCCCAACACCGCTCTTGTCTTTCTACTGAAATCATGTACCAGATGGCCCCAAGAACCTGGAATTGAAAGTTTCATTTAAGTGTAAGGAAATCCAAACTATCCCTTTGAAAAAAAATAAAATAAAAACACACACACTTACATGGCTGGCTAGCATGTAGAGGAATAGATTCAGAGCAGCTCCAGCCCAAGCAGTTTCAGTGAGAAAGCCTGAAGTTCGTGTAACTTCTATATAAAGGGGAACAATTCGAAGAATTCTTGGTACATATTGACAGATGATAATGTATGTCAACAATTCCTTCATTACAAATGTATCCGGCTGGCCGTTCAATGAACGGTTGACAAGCAAAATTACAAGCTGAGAGAGAACACAAAGTAACAGGAATTGTTAAGGTGCAATCTTTTCTTTGATGATGCATTGAAGAACTTAATTAATTGGAACTTGCTACAGAGAAGCAACAAACCTGTGGAAGCGGAAGAATTGACAGGACGTCGATGATGAAGTATGTGAACAAGTACCTCTTTGCAATAGCCCAAGGATCAACAATCAAGTCACCCCTACCAAAGACTCTAGAAGGAACGGGAATGAACCCAGTTCGGAATTGAAAGATGATGTGAATTATATAGAAGGCATCCATGAATGTACGAAGGACACACGCAATTTTTTCCAGATGTACATCCAGGTCGAGGCATTTTCGCTCTTTCCTATTCACAACCACTGGGATGTAGAAGAAAAGAGGGTCCAGTGCCAAAGCAATTATACAGGCTAGGAGAAATATTTTATTCCAGTTTTCAAGGAAAGATCCCT